TCAGCAAAATAAAGTTTATTCATTTACACATTGTAAAATAAATATCACCCATATCCCCCTGTGCTGCCAGAACCATTTTCTTCCCCCCCTTTCATTTTTTTGCACACACATTAAAATGTCACTTCCGTCTCTGTGCTTCTTCAGTTTCTAACCTGGCCATAGTGTCCGGGGATTTGACAGCTATAAACCCAGAAGTGCTCAGAGCTGAACGCTTCCGGGTTAATATTACCCAGTACAGACGAATGTTTGTGGATCTCCATCCTGACACCCGCTATGGAGGTTCCTGGCACCCAGGAAGGGCAGGTAAGCACGGGCACATGGCAGCGGGGTAGATGGCTCCTTCACACAGATGTAGAAATGATCGGGCGCCATCAGAAAGCCGACAGCTCACGGCAACAGGGAGGTAGGCGACCCAGGGCTGTCATTAGTTCTGCCATCTGTACCTGGCAAGTTACTAACCATATCAGGTACACCCCATGTTTGGTACCCTGTTTCGCAGAAAATAAGACCTAGTACTATTTTTGGGAATTGCTAAAATATAAGACCTACCCCGAAAATAAGACCTAGTTGTGACCATTCGCAGGGCCAACGGTGGCATAAGGGGGAACTTGAAGAGCCGCGGGAGAGAATCGGCGGTGCCAACGCTGCCAGCGCTAGAGGAAGCGAGGCGGCACCGGAGGGAGCAGAGCCGCATAAGCTGATGTTTCCTCTATAGTGCCGGCTCCTGTCACAGGCGGAGTGATACCAAATGCTCTCCGCCTGTGAGGAATCCATAGTGAAAGCGCGCTTCGCTCATTCTGGCCAGCGATTGGTTACCAAATTGCTCTTGGAGAGGTACGGAACCCGATTGCCCTGATCACCATAGTTGTGTACATGAACACATGTAGACTGTTGTACATTAAAAAAAAATAAGACCTACCCCGAAAATAAGACCTAGTGTGTTTTTTTTTGAGCCACAAAAAAATATAAGACAGTGTCTTATTTTCGGGGAAACACGGTAGCTACAGGGGAAAGAGGTGGCTGACTTCCTTTTGGAGATGCTGGTTGCCTGGCTGTCATGCTTAACCTCCCCCCCCCCAGGAAGTCGTCTTCTGCGTAATTGTTTTAGGTCAGCTAGATGTTGGCTATGACAGCCAGGCAACTAGCATTTGCAGAATGAGAAATCACCAGTGGCAGGCCTCAATGTTAACTAGCAATGTGCTCTGTGGTCACCTGGACAGGAAGTTTACATGTAGGGGGGGCCACAGACGGCAATGAAATCCTGACCTCCCCGCTCTATCAAATAAAAAGAAAGCCCTGGCTGGAGTTCTGAGCTCCAAACCGTTCCTTTCATATACGATTCATACGAAGTACAATATCTCTTTGCATCCCTTCCGGCCAACTCACTCAGATTACAACTTTAATAGCTCGCTCAACCATAAGAAGAGACAAAAGGCTCCTTATAAATAAATTATAATTAAAGTGGAACGATCGTGTTTTTCCTGAGTCATCATTCGGTCTTATTAGGGAGACAGAGAGAGAGGAGGGAGAGAGAGAGACAGAGAGAGAGGAGGGAGAGAGAGAGAGACAGAGAGAGAGGAGGGAGAGAGAGAGAGACAGAGAGAGAGGAGGGAGAGAGAGAGAGACAGAGAGAGAGGAGGGAGAGAGAGAGAGACACAGAGAGAGAGGAGGGAGAGAGAGAGAGACAGAGAGAGAGGAGGGAGAGAGAGAGAGACACAGAGAGAGAGGAGGGAGAGAGAGAGACACAGAGAGAGGAGGGAGAGAGAGAGACACAGAGAGAGGAGGGAGAGAGAGAGACACAGAGAGAGGAGGGAGAGAGAGAGACAGAGAGAGAGAGAGAGAGAGAGACAGAGAGAGAGACAGAGAGAGAGAGAGAGAGAGAGAGAGAGAGAGAGAGACAGAGACAGAGAGACAGAGAGAGAGACAGAGAGACAGAGAGACAGAGAGACAGAGAGAGACAGAGAGAGACAGAGAGAGACAGAGAGAGACAGAGAGAGACAGAGAGGGAGAGAGAGAGCCTGAGCTCCGGGCATATCATCGTATTCGCTGGCCAATGCCATTGTTGGACTTTTGGCTCCTGTGGCAGTGTGCCGGTTTTTGCAGAAAAGACAGAGACTGCGTGTAGAAATAACAGTAGGGACCTCATTCCCTCTTTGCATGACCAGTTACCGCTGGAGACACTTAACAATCACTCCTCGATGCCTTGACAGCACCTTGTGATCACTTCGGAAATGCCTGGACACATCGGGAAAGTTTGATTCAGAGCCTAGGAGGACCACTATTGTGTTACAAACGGTGGATGGTTCTGGCCGGCAGCATGGTAATGGGCCTCATCAATACCCATAAGCAGCTTCGGTGGCCCAATAACACAAGCACGCGCTAACAACACTAGGAGCAGTGTGTGCAGTGCAGAAGCCCACAGCAACCAATCAGAATTCAGCGCTCAATGACCTGACTGCAGCGGAGTAAGGTTTGATTGGCTGATCTGGGTTAGTACTCTTTTTACACATTGCCGTTCTGGAACAAATTGGTAGAAGGACTTTGAGTCTCACCTGCCGTGGCGATGATGTTACTGGTGTCCAGTTCCGCCAGCTCAGCCGCCTCTTCCCTCTTCAGCCGTACGACACGGCACTTTTCCAGAGTCGGCTTTCCTGTGTTAAAACAAAGAGTCCATCACCTTCCATGAAGAGAACCCAGAGGCTTCAACTGTGTTTTCATGAGTTTTAGATAATGACCGTAATAAAATACAACACTGGCACAGGACTTACCTCTGGGAAAAGGATGAGGTCTCCCTTAAAGCAGACTTCAGCCTCCCCACCCATTTGACCTCATTGCCCTCCAACCCTCCCTCCTATCTCATTAATGGATATTTTTCCCAAACCCCTTTATTTCTTTGGGACCCCTCCTGGCACTTCCAGAACTCTTGCCTAGGTGAAAATTATGTCCTGTCCACCCACAACCTCATGGGATACTAACTTCATGCATCCCAGGAGGCCTCGGGGTGCTCTATGGCATGTCCACAGGGGGGCCAGGCTATCTCTTCTTGCAGCTGGCCCTGATGACACTCATGTGCTGTAACCTCAGGGGGCCTACTGCAAGAACTCGGAAGAGACAGCTGGCCCCAATGACGCTGATGTGCTGCATCCTCCAGGTTCTTGCAGTAGGCCCCCTAAAGAGACAACTGACCGCAGTGACCTTGATGTGCTGCATCCTCAAGGGGCCCGCTACAAGAACCCCAAAGAGACAGCTGGCCCCCAATGACGCTGATGTGCTGCATCTTCAGGGGGCCAGCTGCAAGAACCCCAAAGAGATGGCCAGCCACCTGATGATGTAAAAAGAAAGATGGCGGCTCGGGAACAGGTGTGGTTCACTGAATTGCAGCAGGACAACACTTTAGTTGCTGGACGTACGGGTATGTAATTTCAGGATGAAGCAGCAAACAAGGCAAGTGGAAATAAAATAAATGAACACGGGTGGGAGAAGTTCCTCTTATGTGATTCAGTAGTGCAATCATGCAGATATCAGCAATTTCATGGCATTGATGTTCCCTCTCTCTCACTGATCGGTCAAACACACCCACCTTCCTTACATCATCAGGGGGCCGGCTCTCTCTTCTGGGTTCTTGTCGCGGGCCCCCTGAGGATGCGGCATAGGAGTGCCATTGGGGCCAGCTGCAAGAAACAAGAGACAGCCAGCCCCTTGGTGATGTGCCATAGAGCACCCCGAGGCCTACAGGGATCCATGAACTTAGTATCCCATGAGGCTGCGGGAACATCATTTTTGCCTAGGCGAGAATTCCGGAAGTACCCGGAGGGGTCCCAAAGAAATAAAGGTTTTTGGGAAAAATAAATGTCCACTTATGAGATAGGAGGGGGTGTTTGAGGGCAATGAGGTAAAGCTGAATTCATCCAGGAGGAATAAAGGCGCTTCCAGACCATGCTGTCTATTTATAAGATTCGTCTTTACTCGTTTCTCTTCCCCCAACATGCCCCTTAAAGCAGAACTGAAGCCAGAATTATTTTTTTAGTTTTTGATAACACAAGGCAGGGTTACAACCCCTATCAGCTTTTTTTGCCCTATGTGTCTCACTAGGCTAATTTACCTTTACTTCCTGTCCAATACCCATAGCAGGAAGTGACTGAGTTTCGTTCACTTCTGATTTGGAAAGCCTCGTGGTAACACACAGGACAAAGATCTGCTGCTCCTCACGGCTCACCTTTCACCCCCAGGTCCTCCAGCTCCTTCTTCAGCACCTCCGCCATTGACTTCACCGAACGGCAGTTCTGAAACAGCTTCTTGTAGTTCCTCCGAGTCCCGCAGGTCAGGATGTATCGCTTCAGCCGGGTGACAGATGGGTGGTCTTCTTTAGAGGTGCTCTAAGGAGAGCAGGAGAGAGTATTGTTACAGAATATAACCTCGTCTTAGAATTGGTTTTGTTCTTGCTGATGGTTATGTGAAACACGTGCTGGTTTCTTGTATCTCTCGGGGGTTCCATTGGGGCGGGATCCTCCCAAGAATTCTTAGTTATGTCTAACTGCCTTGAACATTACAGAACCAAAGCACGGTGTCACCCTCCAGCAGTGGAGTCTCCACAACAGATAGAGAATCAAACTGCAAATACATTACAGCCTTGTGGGAGGGGCAGAAACACAAACTATGGTTGGGAATTCCCCACAGGAGTCTTGTGGGAGGGGCAGAGACACAACTATAACCGGGAACTCACCACTGAAGCAATAAGAAAGGGGTGGAAACACAAACTAGAACCGGGAACTCCCCATC